AGCTAAACACAGGCAATAAAATTAACACCGAACTGACTACAAGCGTAATCGTGCAAAAATCTAAAAGAATTTAGACAGCACCTGAGAGCCGTGACGCTCCGTGCCCTGACCCCCCAGCTTCTGCCCTCGCTTAGAAATTCTCTAATACTGAAGAGGTTCGCAGCACGGCTGCTCCCAGCAGAAAGTGAACAAACAGCAGCCTGCCCAGTTTTTTCCAAGGTTTTAAAAACTGGAGAAGGGCAAAGGAAAACCAGGGGAAACGGGAGCTCCCTCAACGCAAGGTGCGTTACCAAACCCACAGAACAGGATTGCAGGTTCGCAAGGCAAATGGGGTACAGAGGAATTCTTCACTTAAAAAAATAGGAACATTATTATAACAGGGGAAAAATAAAAAAAAAAAAATCAAAAATTTAGAGATCTCCTTGTTCTGATCCATTTCACTCCACAAGGACACATAAAGTGTCACCCGCCATGAACCGTTCCAGCTGTTTTAAGACTCGGTCCCCACCCCCCAAAAAATCCCAAATCAAAGTTATTCCCAATTTCATTTAAAAAATCAGAAAAGTATTAGGAAATAAATCTCACTGATGCTTTCTCAAGAGTGAAATAAAGTGCCGAGAGCACACAGCTTGAAGTATAGAATATTTCACTTCATGAAACATAAGAAAAATTTCCTTAACTCTGTCACATGCACTTCTGCAGCTTTACCAGCCCTTTATTCAATAGACGGGCAGCTTTTCTTCCAGAATTTCATAACTCAAGCAAGAACAGTAACAGCAAATACTGACAGACTATCAACGAGAAGGGAGGAAGGAAAAGAGCAGCTCATCTGAAGTGCTCAGCTTAGAAAAGGCCATAAGTAAGAACTGCAGATATCCCACTTACTACACAGAATCTACTAGAGTATACGTGCTCATCAAACCTCAGGTTGACCAAGATAAAGCAACAGTTCTGTGGAAGGTGGGTACTTAGTTGGACTCAAATCCTCATGAGATAGGAACAAGGCAGAAAAAAAAGAATATAAAAAAAATACAAACCAACAACCGCCTCACAAAATCTTGTTTCCTGCACTAGTGAGCGATGCAGCAGAACCGGCAGGATGCTGTTTACACGGTTCGCTTTCAGGATAATAAGAGGCAAAAGCACAAAGGTAACACGCAGTATCACATACTGTCAGTCTTTAGACTTTTATCTCAGTGTCTCTAAACTCTGTCGTGCCAGATGGCACAAAAAGCCATGAAAAAAAAACCCAACAATTTTGATGTTTCCTGCACAACCCTCCCTCCTCTCGTTTATAAAAATAAAAAGCGTGTCAGTGTTGTAGCTTCTTGGGAACGTTACCTGCATTTCATTTTCCCCTCTCGGTAACACTGAAGGAACTCTACTACAGGATGAGGAAATAACAGGATTGAACATAAAACCGATATTTGAATGAGATGCTGCGGGAGAGAATGAATATTTGCTCACTCAGCATCTCCCATCAGCTTAACCATCCCGCAGGAGACCTTAATCCCCAACAGAAAACAGGCCCAAGAGATTGGCAGCCGCAGGGGGGCACAGGCAGTGCTGACGGAAGGGCTAATCCAAGCTGACATGAGTAAGGGCAGGGAACGGAAGAGCACACGACGGCCAGCACGAGCCCACGTCCCGCCCCACGGGATGCCTCCAGAGGAACACCCAAGGGTACCGCTGTGACACACGCTGGCGAGCCACGTCGGGACAACATGGACTTGAGCCCGCAGCAGCACTCACAGGTATGATCCTCTTGTAACCCAAGTTTATCAACTGAATTTCTCAAGTCCACGTTGATCTTTAACACACAGTTGCCCCTCAAAGCCACAGGCTCAGCCCCATGGGTGAGAGCATCACCATACCAGGGTCCTACCTGCACTCTCGTTCAATTAATTACCTCTGCTGAAAGCTGTAATAAATGGAGCACAGCTTGCAGAAAGGTGAACCTATGGTTTGCCAGCCGCCAACGTTCAGAGGAAATTATCTATAACCTCATTTGAAGACAAACAGATGGATTACCTGGTAATTATTTTGGTTTTGTGATAGCCTCAGTTGACTTGAAGATGTGAAATGAGGAGAAAAGGTACTTCTTGATGGATTAGCACTGTTATACAACGTACTGGATGTTGTATGCAATGAGGTCCGTGCAGGCGAGTGGTAGTCTCTGTTATGATACACAATAGCGTCAGGCACGTCCCTGGCATTCACCATCTGTGAACTACAGCTCACGTTCCTTCCCGGCCCAGACAAGGCTGCGCTTTGGTTCTCCACTCGACCAGAACCGCTGCTTTCACAGAATCTCGAGTAGCTTTGCACTTGTGCTCCCATGGACGCCAGCTCTTCTTCTCTGGCGTACTCGTCGTCCACGTCGCCGGTTTCCATCGCGATGGACAGGCAGCTGCCTTCCACCGAGCAGTGCCTCTGCGCCGCGCTCCCTCCCACGAGCCTCTGAGGTTGATCTGTAACCGCCAGGGAAAACACTTCGCGGATCTCCAGGTTTTGCGTGCTACAAGAAGGGTCCCTGGCGTTAGCCCTTTGCCCGGGGGACACGTGTGACACAAGAGCCGCGTGTTCTGGTTTTTGTAACCTTTGACATCCCACAGGTTCAGCTTTACAGGGTCTGTGGCATATCGTGGGTTTCTGAGGTAAAACCAACTCCGCGGTCTGGACCGACGAACCGCCGTAGCTTTTTTTCGTGTGACTATAAATGGAGTTTGCAGAATTCAGTACGCTCGTTTGCCTAGACAAAATAATTGTCTTTTCCCCTACTAACAGGGAAGCATTTTTACAATGCGGTACTTGGCGTCCTATAGGGATGTGCTGCTGCTGAAACTCGGCGTCGTTTTTTCCCGGTAGCCGCGGAGCAGAGGTTTTATGTACTTCTGCCACTGAAAAATTGGTCTGTTTGGTGAATCCTTGCCTGCCAGATGCACTAGCGGGACTGTATATACCAGTAACGATGACGTCGTTGTTAGAAGAGGTCCAAGAAGACTGCTGGCTTTGGGATCGAGCAATATTTACCACATTTCTAACTGCTGCTTCTGGAGGTACTGAGGGAGTAGTAGAGCCAGTCCCAGGGGGAGTGCCTCCCGATTCCACAGTGCTCTTGCTGCTCATCTTCCTCCGTTTATTACCAACCCACGTCTGCAAACAAACAGCAATGACAGCAAACACAAAGCAAAGCATTAAATAAGCAGAAAAAGTAGGCAACTTTTCATCAGATCTGCTGAAAAATGGAATTCAGTGCACAAGTTGAGCCCTAAGTTTACAAATACATGAATCATGTGCTGATCATGCAGCATCTGAAGAGCCCAGGCTGGAAATTTGTGCCCCTCACGCTTGGGATTCATACACTAACACACAGGAGGGTACCAGCATCAAGTCCACAGCCCCAGTTTCTTCAAAATCCTGAGACTGTATCATGTTTCCTCTCTCAAAGTTACCCTTAAGATTCATTTCATTGACACCGCTGTGACTAATTCTCCCAATTTGAGGTTTTTTATATTAGGACCTTGGGATGCAAATCCATCACCGAGGTATGTAGTTGAAGATTTGTAACCAAATAACTGAGACATACGGCCTTCGAAACTGCCTTGAACAGAAACTGCCAATTTATACAAGAGGAAGGAAATGAACTCTATCTGTTAGACAACTACAGCAACATTTTGTGAGTTCTTTAAACCTACAGACTAATTCCTCAGGTTCAAATGTACTGCTGTTTTGAACACACAGCTAAAGGAACTGAAGGGGAAACATTAATTTCAGTATTAGAGAGTTAACCTGGTGAAAGCACGAACTCTAGCACTGGAAGCGTAAGCACCACCTAACTATCCTGGCAATTTTCAGGATCAGAGAGACAAGACTTGCTCAAGTCTCTCACCCCAGTACAGCTGTACTGAATGCGAGGGCACAAGAGAGCAAGACGAGTGCCAAAAAAATGAAAAATAAGCTTTTGCAGCTGCTTATGCTGGTTATGAAAAGGATCAGATACAGAACCAGTTTTCTGAGCTACTCTGGGTGTCCTGTGCTGCACACCCAACACCAAAGCACAGCAAGATCTCAACATTCAGCAGCACAGAGCAGCTGATTTCATCAGTAAACTCCCTCAGCCCATAACAAGCAAACTGCACTGAGAACTTATCTGGGGTTTCCATCTCACTGCACGAAAGAAGGAAAGCTTTCTCCACATACTAACGCCTGCTAAGGAAGTAAACAAATTCTTCTACAGGAAAATACACATCCCTGCGGCACAGAAGTATGATGGAAGCTCAATTCTGCTAATGTTTATTGCCAAATTCTACAATTTGAGTCACAGTTTGTTGCATGTACTAAAAACTCTGTTACTAGTAATAAATTTTTCTTCTAAAAAGTTTAAATGCAGACGTTATAAACACAAATCTCACTTTAGTGCATAAAACAAATTCAGAAGATCGAATTTATTTTTCTGTAATTTCTACTCAGACAGTAAAGTTTCAAGACATAAATTATAATTAGACACACTGAAAATTTTGGACCAGGAGAAGAGATTTCACTGCAACTTTTCCAACCAATTAGAATGGAAACCTGAAGTTTTTCCTTGTGGTTTCCCTGAAAAGAAATGCAAGTAACTTACGAGCGCTACTATTCCCTTGGGATTCAAGCACAGCTTCATGAGACAGCACGAGCCAGATTTGCCACTGCTGGAAAAGCCCCATTCTCCTGGCTGTGTCCCCCAGCCTCTTACTCCCACCATTTACCCCAAAGCACCCACCTGAAGAATCAGTGAGTGCAACTACCCCAAAAGGCAGAAAACTGAATTGGACAAAAAAAGGTAATAATTAATAAAAAAACAAGAACAGAAGATTTGGTAAGGTTAGCATATTTCAACTGGGTTACTCTGGAACTGAATAAATGCAAGAGATGAACAGCAGAAGAAAAACAGAAGAAAAAGAATTGCAGAGCTGGCAGAAGGAAAAAAGCACAAAACCTGTTTTTAGCACAGTGAGGCACTAGCACTGAGAAGAATTATGCAAAACTGTCTGGGATGTGACAGAGGAGTCATTAAGTACAAAATATCCTACAAGGAGGGACATGAATCTTTGTTTCAACCAACTAGTAAGTTTTGGGAGCACTTTGACTAACACTGGGAGCTTTACTAAAACTCTTAACTCTTACTTAGGAGGAGGATTTCCTAATTTTGAAAGAATATATTTTTATGTATTGCAGTCATAAAATCTGTAGAGGTTTACATCAAATCACAAAGAGAACTTCTCTTTTTTTTCCAACCCAGCTCCAGATTGGAAAGACTGGATGCAGTTCTGCAGGACAAGTCTACAGAAATCCTGATCTGGGGAAACAACATATTCATAGTTACGACATTTGAATTACGACAGTTACATTTAGGGAATTTGTGTTCCTATTATATCTCCAAGTGCCAGCTGCAACTCAGGAATCATTTTGCTCGACTTTGCACAAAGAAATACTAATCTCTATCCAAGAGTTTCATAGAGAAAAATAAAGAATAAAAAAAAAGGGGGAGGATTAGGAGAGGCAAAAAGGAGGGATGTAAAGAAAGAAGGGTAAGATCACGCAAAAATATGATGAGTGCAGGGCAAATGCGGGGTCTGTTTCCATTGCACTTCACCAGTAGGAAGAAAGTTTAAGTATTATACACGAGGGCTCAGCAAGGGAAGAAAACCAGAGGGAAAAGGCCATGATACGTTACTGCAGGGAGGGAAACGGGGAATGGACGGAGAGTGAATGAGGACTGCAAATAGAGAAGAGACTGGCTGCCTCCTCCTGCCCCTTCAATCGGAATAAAAATAGAAAAACAGGCCCCAACTGCATCATCAGCATCCAGAGTCCTGTTACAACCGCTTTGCTGCCCCAGGGAGTTGGGATGTCTGCCTGACTTTCAGAACTTCCCACCACCTAGAGCTGAGAAAGTTAAAACTTAACATTTCCAGAGTATTTTGAGGGAGAGGAATCAAGGTAAGGATGAGGGAGCAGAAGGGGTTGCAATTGTCAATATATCACGGGTACACAAAAAAAAATAACTAGACTGGTCTTGGTTGCAACAACTTCAGGTAGCTCCACTAGCACTGTTATTTTTTCAGCTAATGCTTCACGATTTCTATTTCTGCTCTGAGACAACAGTCATTTTGTTGTCTAGTGTTTCACAAAGGGATTATTATTTCTCTTCCCATGGAATTTGTAGACTTTGGAAGAGCTCCTGTTAGCACTACTGACATTCTTCTTTTCTAAGCAAAGAATGTACTCACTGTAAATAACTATGAGGGACCACAATATTTATGATTGTGACACAGAATATAAGTGTGACAGACTGTGTCAAAAGAAATACGTCCACAATTATTCCTTCAAATACATTAGGTTACAGAAATTTGTTTAATTTAAGAATAGTTTCCTATCCCTTGACCTTTCTTTGATACAATACATTGCACAAGGTTTCTATGGAGCAAACTTACTTGCAATTTAGTAAATAATAAAAAAACCAAAACACAAAAACACCATCAACAAAAGACAACCAACCATGAAAAAGCCCAAACCAAACCCATTAAATGAAGAAAATCATTCCTTGTGCAATCCAGGCCCCTGCTAAATACAGCAATCACGTGAAGGCATTTCAGTGAAAACAAACTATGGACAGGCCCTCTGGATAAAAACGAACACATCACACACACATACTGAAGTCTGATTTAAGACAAGCATGAAGTTAGAGATTCCAGTCCTCTGCAGATATTTCATGTAAAGAAATGAATGTGTATAACTTTTAACAGACAAATTCGGAAGGCCTCAGTACTTACCCTGACTACACTGAAGTCCAGTTTAGTTTCTTGTGCACACTGTAATATGAGCTGAAAGCAATTTTTACTTTGATTTGTCATTCCATTTTCATAGTAACGCTGCAATATCCTTTGTTGTTCTACAGTAAATACAGAACGCAGATTCATCTAAAAATAAAAGAAGATACTCTGAAAGTCGGAATAAAAAAAACTGTAATATTTGCAGAATGCACAGGCTCTCGTTTATGCTGGTTGTGGTACCTCTAAGTGTCGACATGTTCTCTTTACAGAGTCCTTTCCCAACACCTTTACTTACTTTCCCAAAAAACCCAACTGTTAGAATGAGCATTAGGGTTTCCTTTGTGACAGACTTTCACAAACAAATCAAAATTACAGTGTGTTGCCAAGTCCAAGAGCCTCGATTTTCAAACAAAATGTTCCTCCCTTAAGTAAATAAATAAAGAGATGAGCAAAAGAGAGTAACACAAGCACCAATATTGGCAGGTCTGTTTCCCCTCCCCTACCAAAAAAACCCCAACCCCCCAAAAACCAAACAGACAAAATCTGAGATAAAGTAAAGGTCAGTGTTTGCCACGAGTAAAGTTTCCACAATGTCCAACTTCAGCAAATCCTACACAAGTTACGGCCGGTCACACTACTCCTTCTGCCATGTCAGCGCTGGCACTTCCCAGCTGCAAAGTCAAGAAGATCAAGGACCAGAACTGAAAACTAATGCGAGATATAAAAAAAAAACCAAACAACAAAAGAACCCAAACCAAACTAAAAAAACCCCAAAAAACTAAAGAGAAGGGCTGTGGGCAGTTCTTGTCCAGCCCACTGCAACACTGATGCTCTAATATTAACACAAAGGAGGGACCAACCAAATCCCAACCTGCCTTCAGAATGGTTCAAGCTTCTGTGAAGCTGTACCCTGAGGGCAGAAATCAGACTTTTTAACAAGACTTAAGGGTTGTTTTAGAGAGGCATAACCCAATGCTGACCACAGGACCTCAGGATGTGTTCCTGCCCCTTTGCCTTCTCTGAAGCGGTGCTTGATGGCGAACTGGAGCTTTAAGCTCCTGTTATACCGTCTGTACAGGCAAAGAAAATAATCCTGGGGTCACAAGTACGAAAGGAAGAGCCCCATCACACCAGCATTTCTAGAGCAGGGCTTTGATTTTGTCCCAAACAGGAGCTGGCTAGAAACGACCTGCATCTGACTTCGTGACTCAGAAAGCAAAATGTCACCAGCCATGAGACACTTTTAACACTTTCACTCCACGTATCAAAACAAGAACCCGTGCCATCATCTCACTGGAAAATAAAGGGGGATGAGGCAACCCTGTGTAGGTACCGAGCTTTGAGTTACTGGTTTCAGAAATTTTGGAGGAGAGTAGCAATACACTTAAGCTTTACATGAGAACTGCTTCAAATTTGGAGCAAATAAAATTATTAAGGGCTCAAAAGGATGAGGAGACACCCAACGCCTTTCACATTATTAATCAAGATGATTACAGTAGGCAATGGTAATGGATGTTGGAGTTTGACAGGCTTCTATAAAGAGGAAGATTAATATCTAGAATTTGGAGTAAAAGCTTGTAGGTAGAGCTTTCACTTCAGTTTACTTTCCTCTACGTGTCAACAGACAATAGAAAAATCACTAACTATAAATTTGTAAAACTTAGTTTTCTCTTCAATACTTAAACTAGCAGATGATTTCTACCTCTGTTCCCAATTCTTATTCACCCTCTCCATCTAGAGCAACAATAAATGCCGCACTACCAGCTGCAGCACAAGTCAGAGTTATTGCCCAAGTTATCCCATCACAGTCAGAGCTGCGCAAAGGAGACTCTTTCTCCAAATACTCCACTGCTTAAAGAAATTTATAGCAAGCATCAGAGAAGACAATTAATAACCCATTAACAAATCAATAGTGTTCATTAAAATCTACTTTATAAAGTTAAGAACTGTCTTCAAATCTCCCATGTGGATATGCAAGATGACGCAGTCACCAACCGATGTCTGTTACTTTTAAAGAACATGTAAGAGTTAATTCTGTGATTCTTTCTCCCCCTGCCCGACTGGCAGGACCCAGCTCGCGCTTCTGTCAGACTCTTTCATTAGCAGCGCCCGTGCGATTTAGTCGAGATCAGATCCCACAAGTGACTCCATCAGAAATAGTCACAGGCCTTCTATCTTTCCAGATGCAGATGAAGTCTGGCATCCAATCGCTCCCGCATTTCTAGACATCCAAAAGGAGCACGTTCTCCAAACAGTTCAGTAACCCGCGATGAAGACCCCTCCAATTGCAAGATGAATTTTTAGAATCAGACCTAACGACGCACAAGAGAAGATGTGCCAAGTCCCTCACACATTTTCTAATTATGTGGATTTCTGTATCCCCAGTCACTTCTGTGCTAAAATACTTTCATTGCTGTATTTGACATCTGTAGCTTGGCTAAGGACAGGGTGGAACATTTTCACAAAATATTCAGATAAACCTACAGATATTGCATGAATAGACCTGGCTAACCTCAAGGTCTGGTTTAAGAAACAACTGAACACGGTTATTAAATCATGATGTGGCTTCACAAACAACTCTCTTTTTTGCCATTTATTTTAATCACTGGTTGTCTACACCTGCCAACCAAAACACTGGAAAGATTCCTTAGTAACTTCTCCCTTGAATCCAGCCAGGTGAAGCTCCAAGGATCTGCGCAGAGGCTGTCAGAAACTGATTTAAATAAATTGCAGGACCCTACGAACGCAGTTATGGAAGCTGAGTCATAACTCGAGTTCACGTTGCAACATCTCAACTTTCAAATAAGCAGGAGACAATTTATTAATGCTTTTTGTGCTTTGAATACACTGAATTCTAAGTCAACAGACAGTTCTGTGCCATTTCTCACTGTCCAACCTCTTCACATACATATTTACCAAGCTACAGAAGGGACACTGAAATATTCTTAATATATCAGTAGCCATCCTGCTACGTAAATCGATCGTATTCATTTTGCTCTGCCAGTTAATTAATTTAAAAACTAAACAAAGCAAACAACAAACAAAGCAAACCAATACACAACTGCCTTTTACCAGAGGCAACAGAAATTTAGGAGTAAATTGCAGAATAAACCAGAGCACACACATCACATTCAGCAAGGCTACACAGGCAGCTGCCCGACGGAGAGCCTGGTGCAAATGCCACTCAAAATCTTAAACTCAAAGCAAATTAACCAAGTGACTGGACTCAGAGGTGCACTATAGCGAGCCCTTCTACTAGATCCCATAATAATTTGAACCATGCTACAGGCTACGCTCTGCTCACGGCCAGGCAGCAAACACAACTTCACACAAAGATCTTTGATTACACAGAGCAAGAAAAAAGAAACTCAGAATCATAGTTTCTTTGCTTTTTAAACTGCCTACGCAGTAATTTCTAACTAGGTATTACGGCTCACAAGATTACTAGTAGTAGTAGAAGCAGCAGGACGTTCAATCTCAATATTGCAGGACAAAACAAGGGCTGGCACGCTCATTTCACACTGGTGTAGGACACGTGGCAATATTCCTGCCCACTGACAGCACATCATCTGCAAAGTCCAGACGGAAATCAGTTTGCAATCGGCAGTTCTTAAGTGTTTATTTAGAATATCTACACCTGTGTTGAACAAACCAGTTACTGAATATCTGGAAGCCCCATGAGAAAGCCACAAAGCCCAAAGCCATCACGTTAATCCATGAAGTGCTGCCTCCGCACATCCCAGCTTCGTGGCAACAAGCTCTGCTCGCTTTCCACACCCGTCAGACTCAGCAATTTATCTACATTAAGTACATTCAAACACCTGTAAGAACATAATGTTAGCGTCTCTTGGATAAATTAATACACGGTATATTCATCAAAGGATAACAATGATTTATTATTTTTTCTGGTGAAGCATTACCTGTTTAGCATCAGTTTTCATAGTTATGCAGAACAAGATAATTCTTAGATTTTCTTTAACTTACATTACCAAGCACTGAGGCAGCCACGTTAGTATCAAGGACATCAGCAGGTCGTAGGTCTTCATATTGGACTCAGTATTATTCAAAACAATCTCACAGCCAGAAGTAACTTCAAAAGAAATAAACTCCTTTTCCCCAACTTGTGTACCTATGAAGCTCTCCAGTTTTTTCAGTATTTCTCACCTTTGTCTTGAACCTCAGATTCCAAGTTAGAAACCCACACGGATTTTTATCATAATTTCATTTTGATCTTGACTTGCCAAGCTTAGAAAACATGCATTTGAGCTTTTGGGAAGCCAGGTGTCCAGTTGGTTGGCAACGCATTGGCACTGAAAAGAGAGTTTGTTACAGAAAAGAACTTCGTGAAATTTAATAAAATTCAGGTGAAACATTATGCAAACCAAAATTTCACTAACCTAAGTTATAATTTCACTTCAGTAAAAGATAGAGGTGCCAAAGCAGTATTTTTCAGGGTTTAACATCTAAAGTAGCCTCAGCCAAGTGTGTTGCTGTTTGTGACAGTGCAGGGAATCACCCAAGATACAGAAAAAAAGCAAGTTTCCTGTAAGTACTTCCCTCACCTGTGCTACGTGTCCTAGGCCAACTAACATCACTCAGCTTTTCACTCTGGTTTGTCTCCCACACCTCCACTGTCTGGAAACCCATCAATATCAAGACGTTGTTCTTTCTTAACTGAAGACCGATTTTAAAAATTCATCACAGCAGCAGAAAAATCCCTTCGCTCTATGTGGCGTGCCGGGAGACATAAATGCAGTCCAAACGCTAACTCAGGCACCAGGGACGCTTCTCACGCCGAAGCGGTGAGATCCGAGACAGGAACTCTGTGCCCTCCAGTTCTCCCAAGAGCGCTGAGCACGAGCCTCACGAAGGACAACCCTACTCACACGCTACGACCTGTCACCCTGGCTCCTCGTCAGATGAGCTTATTCTTACAGCTGAACTTTAGACTTCAGCTGCTCAAGCAACTTTCTGCACAGCATTCACCTTCCTTCCCCTTCTGTGACAAGCAGGAGCACAAGTGGAGAGGGGAGAACACAGAAGAACTAAATCTGAGATTGCTTCTGCAGTGGTAGCGCGTTTGCTTCGTGAAACATACTCGGTGTCACAGTTATCCCACATAGCTTGCTGAAAGTGCTTAGTCCTTCCACTCCAGTTACTTTAGTCAACCTCCCAAATTAAGAATCTCTCCAGGGAGACCTGCTGAATCTCAGAGATGTATTTTTAGAAGCCAATGGAAACGAGTCGGTGTCAAGGACTACCACAAAAGAAAGAACAATAAGAAAAGCAGGATAATCATGTATCAATGATGCCCTAGTTAGAAAAAACCCAAACAATTCAAGAGTTACTTAGCTGTTCTGCAATGACCACCTGAAAGATCTGGAGGGAAAAAAAAACAGTATAAGAAGGAAAAAAAATTCTGCAGTGCAAAGTCTGCCTACGACATCCAGCATTATAATCTTAGTGCCAGAAAGTCTCTACCTACTAAGACTGGTGAACCAAGTAAACTTACTTACAAAGTCTTTAAAGAATATTACATTAATATAGATTAATTTGAAAAGTAAACAGTTAATGATACTCCTCTCAAACAGTAACAGAAATTAGTCTTGGATGTAAAATGAAGAAAAAAAAATTTAATTCACTCAGAGAACAAGCCAGAACAAAGTAACGACGTGTAAAAATCTTTATGATATGAAACACTATAAACTTGTGAGGGATTAACACACAGTAATAAAAGAGAATAAGCAGTTTCTGAGAGGTTGGGGTTTGGTTTTTTTTGTTTGGTTGGTTTTTATTCCTAAATCGGCATCAAACAAGCGTCTGTTTGGGAAAAAGTCATCTTACAAAGGCCTGCAAGCCTATTACTGCTTTAGTCTATCACAGAATGGTTTGGGTTGGAAGGGACCTTAAAGATCATCTGGTTCCAATCTGCTGCCATCTGTAACAGGTACAACAAGAAAATCAGCACACGCCAACGTATTTCCTATTTTCTTTCCCTCCACACATCTCCAGTGGTAAAAGATAACAAGACTCAGCAAAAATATAAATCTGAGGCAAAACTGCCGCTATAATAAGAAAGCTACTGTATAGATAAATAGAACAAAACTGCAGTGGTGACATTATTACCACAGCTTTAGTAAGCTGACCTGTACCAGCAACCACCTAATTCACTTCCCCTGCCTGCCAAAAGCTCACCATTTTTGGCACACCCCAAAAAGAAAGATAACGATTAATCAACCACCTTACACACTATGTGTGGAGACAATGGACAAGCAACAATGTTTAATAATCTCAATTTGTAGGTTACTGCCTCTTCCCTGCACAGGCCACAACTACACAACTCTAAGTGCAGTAGATTATGCTTATAGTTGGGCAAGTATAATTAATATCCTTGTAGATATCCATGACTCGCAGCACAACTGCTTCCCTCTCTACTAAGTACAGCATTTGTAATACTGTGCTACGGTTCTACCTATAAAATTCAGCCCTTTAATAGGGACAGATTAGACGGCCCCCAGTAACTTGTAATAACCTATGACCACAACTCTGCAGGTTTACACACCCCATCCCACTTCATTCACTCAAGAGACTTCTGACTCGAACTGGATTAGACATGTGTTTTAAATTAAACATGTACCCAAGGGTTTGCGAGACCTGTGTGAGAAAAAAATGAAAGGAATACTAACAAAATGCAGTCCTACTCTGCTTCAGGAGTCCAGTTTGGAAGAACTTTAGTTACCTACATGTGATCTGCCTAAAATACCAGAAGCCCCAGGCTAACAGAGTGCAGGGCACAGGGCTGGGGATCCCTTGTGATGCCCCAGAGCGGGGCAACACGCACTACGCACCCGGCACCACCACCTCCAGAGGCCCCAAAACTGCCCAACTCACACACCCCTTCCTCCACCTTCCCTTCCAAGCACTTGAGGGCTCAAGTTTTGGCGGCAGGACACCCTGTTCCACCTGCCGTCACCCCTGGCTGTGCTTGGCACCAAAACAGCGCCGGTGTAGGGTCTGCAGGTGGAATTCCTCAGGGGAAACAAGGTTTGAGCGGTTCCACGCCCCATGCCCCGCTGCCGCCGGCCACCTCCTGCCCCCTCACGCATGAGGAGGCCGCCTGGCTGC